CTGACTATCCCCATATTGCTAGAACCAGGCATCAATAACAAACACCAAAAAACAAAACAAAACAAAAAGCTAGCAAAAAATCTGCAAAAAAAAACCCCAAAACAAAAAACAAACCCTAAACCCAGCAAAGTCAGAAAAAGAACTACAAGAACAATTTCTTACTATCTTTAGCAATATCCTTTGCCAGTTTATTTACTTTTTAAGTAAGTGTTCTTGGCCAGGTGTGGTGGAACATGCCTTTCATCCCAGCACTTGGGAGGCAGAGGCAGGTAGATTTCTGTGAGACATTGTCTCAAAAAAAAAAAAAAAGAAGTAAGGTGTTCTTCCTCATATGCCTACACTAAATAAAATAGGACAGCAACATAGAAAAAAGAAAAATAAAACAAAAAACAAAGTACTAAATTTTGAGTTTAGTATAGCAAATATACCCCCCAGGCAGTGGGCTGTTTCCTTCCACAGTGGAGACCAGCACATTCCTAACACCCCATTTCCCTTGTCAGGACAGTGGGTATGCACCCACATGCAGGACCTTAGGAATTTGCCCGAGGAGGGGCATGGTGATGTCCTGTCTCCAGGGTCAAAGTGGCCTTCCCCCCCATGGCAGCTCAGGAGTAGAGAATGAGAGCTGCCTTGCGTACTGGTACAAAGCCTGGGCTGCAGTTTGCTGTTTGGTGTACATTCAGCAAAGAAGGGAAGATAAACCCACAAGGGGAAGACAAATATGTCAAGGACTAATTAAAAAACAGGAGAATGGTACCAACTTTTGGGGAAATTCAGTTAAAAAGGAGATCTCAAAAGGCAAATTCCTGAGAGGTAGGAGGTTGAGTTAACAATAGTGCTGATGTGGGCTTTCTTCGCCCTTTTGTAAAATAAATGTTCTCTATTCTTTGGCACCTGCTTGTGGGTGACTCAATCTCTCAAAAACTGGACAAAAGGGATAATATAAATCCATACTATATAGGGAATTCCTCTAATTAGCAGTGCCGGTGTACTGGCAAAAGTTTGATTTTAAAACAACATCTACGAGCAGCTGCCTCTTCACATGGTTCTCATGGCCACTTCTTTACTAAAACCAATGCTAATAACACATGACCTAAACGGAACACACTGTAGCAATCCATTAATAAGTTTAATAAAACCCAGCTCTCTGGTATTTTCAATGATCTTTTCTAAGTAAATAATTCTTAGTATTTTCCAAAGTTAATGTACTTTCTTGAGAATTCTCCAGAATATTTTAAAGTAAATGACCGAATCTCTGAAGGATTACTTGGCTGGGATAATGATAAATGTTTAAGAAACTATAACATGAAATCAAGAGAAATTTATAAAACCATACAGCAAAGGCAAATACCTCCCTGTACAATGGGGCAACTTCAGCATGCTTAAAACATTTCCTTGCAAAAACACACTCCTCTTAGCCTTATGCGCTTAAATGCTTTTGTGACTTCTGCTGGCATTTTGTAAGTACCTGCTCCAGACAAAGGTCCTTAGCTGGAAGAGGGGTTCATTCCTATACATCTGCACACATACATGTATCTAAATCCCACACACCCCTGAAGCTAAAAGAGAGCCAGATACCACTTCAACAGCACCCCAAGGACAGTCAGGGAAACTTGAGAAAAGGTAAGGCAAAGAAAGGGGTTCACATACCACTTAAGTTACTCACTGTCTTAAGTGCAAGTCTTTCCTGAATACCAACTGATGAAAGCAGGTGAAAAACGTAAGTCTGATAATTTTTTCTTTTATATGATCAAAATTGTATTGTGTCAATATTTATGGAGATGGGGATGGACTTATTTGGAAATCAACTTAACAACGAAATAATTCTGCAAAACACACTGTTTTTGTTTTTTGTTTTAAAGAAAAAGGCAGAGGTTGAATACAATGTTCTAAAGTGAGCAGACCCTCTCAGTCATGAAGGTTTTGTGCACTCATAGGAGCACACCCATGCTTCTTCTTCAATGTACCATTTTACAAATGCGGGGCATTATTAAGAGGGGGCGGATTCTGCCAGGCACATAATTTGTATATTTAACGGGGGGTGTATGGATTGAAAAAGCGAAATATGTTAAATTTCAAAGGACTTGGAAGTAATGCTGCCTGTGAGCTTGTATTACAAATAGCCCCACATTATTACATAGGCTATTAATGAGGCCAAGTGAATGAAAGTACAATTTGAATATGCATGACTCTATCCAATGGGCAGGACTTTTGTGTACTGATGAGTTTTTCCCCCTCCTAAAAAGGATTAAAATTATTCTTAGAGAAGTATGGCTGTCCAGAAATGAGTAAAATAAATGTATTTAGGCCAGAGTCACACTGTGTTCATATGAAATATACAGGTGTTAAAAGACTGCTGCTGACTCCATCTACAATTTCTGAAACATTTGCATAGTCTGTCTTCCTACAGGAATAGTCTTCAACTCAAGCAGCTGTGTTAGTACAACGACTAAGCAAAAATAATGGTTTTGGTGGAGATACCTAAAAGTAGCCAAGGTTAAGCAAACCTTTTGAGTACAAAGCTTTCAGTTCCATGGTAAGCAGCACTAGTTAAAAGACTGGGGAATGGGTAAATTATTGCGCCAAATGGCTGAGAATTAATCTCTGCTGACTAGCTGTAATCTAACGAGGCGTCTGTGTCCCAGGGAGCCCGCAGCATGTCCCTGGCGGTATGTGCAGTGTGTGGAGTCTGCGTGGCACCCTTTGTCCTCGCTCACAGGCGGCCTTTCCCCTCATTGTCCGTAATATCCTCATGCATCTGGGACGCGTGGAATGCATTCATACTAACAGACTTACCATTGTTTTCTCTCAGAAGCTTTGTTGAGCAAAGACTGCATCACGGTTACTGATAATTATATTGCTTAATTAATCAAGACAAAAAAAATTTGCAAATCATTGCCTGGTTGCCAAGCAAGGAGATAAAAAATGACAACAATACAAGCTGAAGCAATATAGCAAAAGTAACAGCTATCTGATCAGAAATTCTTATATAATGAAGCTATTAATGCTAAATCGGTTAATGTTAGTATTGCTCCAGGTGTCTCTACTTAGATGCAAACAAAAAGGCTAACATTATAGATATAAAAGGCCAAATGTTGCCATGGATTCTGTAACCTGATAGAGAGGACAGCCTTTTCATTTGATTAGGGAATGCAATTTAAATACCAGGGACTGAAGCCAAACAAACAGACTTTCCCTCCGAAAGCCTCTTGCATTCACCCTGGGGTCAGTGGTTAGTGAACAAAAGGTCAGCTACACTTGCCCTGGAAATGTCTGGATTAATTTTATTATATTGTAATGGTTTGTACTTTAAATGTAGGGATAACACTAAGTTTTCAGTTGCCCTATTATTCTCTTCTTCTCTTTAGGCTTTTTTGTGTTAAAATACTAAGAAACCAATTTTTTCAATTCATCTTGTCAGAACTGATGACCAACTTCATCTTAAACATATTTTTATAGGAAAATTTAAAAAGTATATTAATGGTTTTTTATACATTTTATGCTACTTTGAGAAATGTCATTTTTGACACAGCAGAGTCAAATGAAATGCTTTTCATCTTCTTCATTCACTTAAAAAATAACAGGGATATTTTAAGGACATTATGACATTTTAGAGGACCATCCTGAAAATGAACTAATAAAACTAGTTCTATATTACATATAAAAGAAACATTTTTGAAAGCTAAAAAGGACTAAATCTATTGCTTCTCTAAGATTAAAATTATCACTTTAATTCTTGTAAGTAATTCTCTTCATGGACAAATGTGAATGTTAGCACTGAGCCATTTTCTTCCAGCACAAAACTGAGAGCCTGACATCCACAGGGATCTGAATCAGAGAAACACAAATATCTACTATGAATTCTGACATCTCTTTAAGAACAAAGGGAACTCTCTCCTTAATAAAGCTTTCCTAAATGGATAGAGCCCACACACTGGAGAATTAACATATATGTTAGACATAGAACTCTAATGATTTTATTTCTGTGACAGTAATTATATAAGAAAATCTTGATAGCAACCATAACAATAACAATGGCTAACAGAGAAGCAGCTTTTAACCTGGTGCCAGACAATGTCTGGAGCACTTTTTCACTTACTAGCACATTTAATGCTCACAATGTAACTTTAGGTTACAAATATGAATTAAAACAACAACTCTCAATACTTTCTTTTAAGTTTAAAAAAGTTCTTAGAATAACGATGAGCTCCTTCAGGAAAATAATTTTGGGATGTAAATAAATATATTTACTGTCAAGCTGAAAACAATAGTCATTTTTTTCTTAAAGAGTGGCTTATATGCTTAATATGTTTTATTTCAAACCTAAGATCACATCTTAATGAATTAAAATTAAAATATGTCGCCACACAAAGTAGTGTTAAAATACCAGTAAAGGCATGACAAGGATCAAAACTGCAGCCGATTATCACACAGGACACAGACCATTGGATTGTTCCAGCCAGCCCTGTGATCAATACCAATTGACATGACTGAATTGATTTTGTAGCAAGGTGCTTTGATTGCTAATACTCATCGTGTGGGCTGTGCTTCAGGGCCCCAATGTCGTTGTGGACATGTTCAAAACCCTTCAGGATTGACCTCAATCATCAACAATCAGGGCTCAGTGACCAATGCCCGTGCATCAGACAGGGCTGGATTCCAGACCCATGGTTATTCCCCAATTAACCCTGTGATAATGGAACTCCATCAACTATTATTATTAATAATGTGCCCCACTTAAAATTATGATATTCCTAAAATTACAACATTTTGAAGCATTACAATTATTTAAAACCCCATATTATTTCTCTAACATAATTTTCAAATAATACAATAAGGAATTTTGTGCTCGTGATTAGAATTCTTTCGAAAATCACAGTTCACTTAAATTCCTATCTAGCACACACAATTCTGATATTTGTAGGACATTCATCAGCCTTTTGAGGGCAGGAAATTCAATGGAAAATATAGGAGTCAGGGCAACAATGGAGGAAGCATACCTCAGGTTTCTTTGTTATCGTGATAAAGAACATATGATTCTTCATTGGGTAAATAATGATCGAAACGTCTCCAAAGGCTGTTGGGATAATGCCCCTGCGGTAGTCTCTGGAGTGTTCAGACCAGACGATGTGGACCTCGTCATTCCCCAGGTGACGGAGCTGCAATAGCAAATTGCCTCTTTATTAACCGAGGTGATGACAACAGTTTATGAGGGGCTGTGGCTTACAAATTAAATTAGAAAACTCAGAGGCCAAAAGTATTTTAGTCCCAAATCAGTCTACTACACTGATGCCTTATGTGAGGACTCAGAAACCTACATTTCATGAAACTCCAGGCCAACTGCTAGGATGCACAATTCATCTAAGATCACACATTTGGGCACATTCCAGTGGGATAGAGGGACCTCTTTAAGGTCTCTTTTTTACAAGGATTCTACTTTTACATCAGTCCTAGAATGTCTCTAAACAACTAAATGACAATCACTTCTTTTTAGTACATATTACTTTAAAACTTTAAGCCTCTTCATCCAGATGGTTATTAAGAAATAACAATGTAAGATAATTAAAGCTACTCCAATACAACTGTTGACAAATGTGTGAGAAACTGGTAATGAGATACATTTTTGAGAAAAAGAATATAAGCAATTATTTTTTAAGGGAATAAATGTATTTAATTGAAATTAAAACTTAAATTTGGTGGGAATACTAGCACCTAGCATTTAAAGATTTCCAAAGTGTTAACATAAAGTGCCATTTACCCTTCCCAGTGACTTTGTGTGACTCCATCTTTACTTTATCTTATAAGAAGTGCCTGATCAGGAATGTTCTGTCTTCTGAGTGCACAGAACAAAACAGCATGGGAGAGAGGGCCAGAGACTGTGGTCTCCATTCATGACTATTTAAGTCATGGACACACACACACACACACCCCTCATACTGTTGTAAGTAAATTTACAGTTTTGTGTTGGGCAGAGTTCATAGCTATCTGGGGATGCAAGTTGAACATTCCTTATCTCAGCTTACATCAAAAGCTATTTTACTGTTATAGCTCAAGTAGTTTAGCTCACTTTTTTTTGACAGCTTATAAATAAAGAGAACTATAAACTCCAAAAAAACCCACAGACTCTCGGTGTCTCTGAGAAGGCCTTAGGAAAGTCTCCAAGGACCCTTACAAGCTCTTCCAGAACAAACTTTTGCTAGATGCAAGAACATCACTAATCAACTGCTTGTGTGGTCATCCCACCAACCTAATCTGGAGAAAGCTGCAAAGAACTCATTGGAGAAACCAGACCACAGTGATGGAAACACTGGCCCACTGAAGCTCTGAAGCTGGCAGAGCCAGGGCTTAGAAGCCTTGGGGGAATACAGTTTCTGCCTCAGATCAGGCAATGCCATCAGCATCAGAAACAAGGGTCCTTGCTCATGTAACAGATGAATGGTACAAGTGACCAAACTTAAAAGCCACTGCAATAAAACTGAGATGTATGTCAGAGCTTATGTTCTAGTTTTATCTTTAAAAATAGAAAAGGTATATTCTGGAATAGTGCAAATTTGAAACATGTTAGCACAGATACGGTTTTCTTTAGAGACCATTTGATCATATAGGGAAAAACCCAAGGTAACCCCAGCACGGGCTCTTTTCCAGTCACCCCATTACAAAGACAGCTGCTTGTTGTAGTGCCTGCTGATTTTCCTCTCTTACATTTCTGGAAGTGACTGTATAGATCAAACACCTACAAAGAGACCTGCATCTGTACCTGCGCCTTTATGGAGTAAGTTATGTATGGGATTCAACTGTGTTTGAAGAGTGGCTCCAGGGACAACTGGAGGCCTCACACAAGTCACAGTGATCCAGAACAGCTTAATGGACTCATAACTTTCTAAATGCAAACATAACCCAGTACATCTTTTTTCTTCTTCTCCTCACTTATCATTACCCTGACACGGTATTAAAGGTCCACAAGGTAACAGGAAGAAAAAGGAAAGACCGGAGCACAACTAAAGCTTTTGATATTCTTTTCTTTTATTTTCTTTTTAGGGCACCAAATTCTCCTAGTTGAAGGTGTCCCTTTAGTCCACTTTGTCTTCTCACAGTACTGGGGATCGAACCTAGAGCCTTATGTATGCAGTGCTCTACTGCCCGTCTGTGTTTCCATTTCTAACAGAGCTTCCAAAGACCTTGTGACACTGTTTTGCTACTTAGTCCTTCTGTAGTGACAGCATGAGAGCTGGGGTTGCCAACTAGGTAAGATGAACAGGTTTCCATGATAAATGTAGACTAGATCTAATTAAAACTTGGGGTGGGATTTGGGGCAACAGGAGCTAACAGTAAGAAATGGGCTATTCTGGAGTTCAGGTAACAACCCTTATCCCACAAAGAGAGCTAGCCCTGTACTCTTTGTTATGATGCTGGCAGAAGCAACTGAATGGAGACAACCCACTTACCAAATATCAAGCTGGCTGCTACCACCCAGTGCCACACCTAATACCTACAGTCTCTCCTTTTCATCCACAAGGGCAGTGTACAATGCTCACTCTAAATGATACAATGATTACTGAAATTTTGCAGTTAATCTGCCCCTTTCTAAATTGTGTTATTCAATTATATAACCCCAGTAAACCCCTCCTAATTTTATTTGCAGCAGTACTCTGAGAAAACTCTAGTCTAGGAAAGCAGTGCCACACTAATTGACCGTTTTCCCAGTGTGGCAATTCTACAATTAAGGAAGAGCTATTTTTGTAATATTCACCATCTCAGAGTTGCTTTCAGTGTCATGCACCTCGCACTTCTGGACATGTTACAGTTCAATTAACTAAAACACAAAACCAAGAGCTAAGGCCATGGGACCAATTGACTGATACATCTGGAACAAAGTACAAAAATTATACCTTCTTGTGCCTATGATAAGAACCCAAATATGTAAAACAAATAAAACTGGTGTGGACAAACTATACACATCAAAGCACAACATAGCTATTCATATCAGAACATAATGGAATATTATAGAAGCCTAAAGTGGCACTCAATTCAAAGGAGATTTTTATTTCAATGTCACCCACAAGTTTGCATAGGGACAAGTCAACTTGACAGGAGGCATATGTCTTCAGGAGGAGATGGGAGCTACAACGGGAACTGCATTCATGTGGGCTTCTGCTTCCACTATGCAACAGACTCCAGAAGGCCTCAAGGCTTATGATGCCCAGAACAAACAGGCTCTTGAGCCTCAAGAAATCAATCCCATGTCCTGCCATCCTTGGTCATGACAGAGTTCTAAACTCCTCTGCCCAAGCTGCTGCCAGGCTGCACGCCTGCACGCTACTGGTGACACCGGTCATGGTCCACACCTAATAGGCTGACCTCCTTTCCCAACTAATTGCATTACATCGCCAGCTGGCTCCAGAAGGAGTCGTCTGTTTGATTGAAGAATCCGGGCTCCTCAGTGGGCCCGGCTGCTACTTTTACTAAGTAACAGTCAGGCCTGACATCCCCATTGTTCAGCTGACAGTGTGCCCATCCTAAAATCTAAGTTTTATTTGTAAATTAACCAAGAAACTTCCTGCCAGAACAGAGCTGCTTAGAGACTGATAATGTGGGCCTTTCATCCCCTTTCACTTGCACTGTATCACTGCCAATTTGTTTTTCATGTGGCTAGCCAGCCTGAGGCTATAAAAGCCTTGTAAGACATAAGTGCAATTATAGTCCTGGAGTCAAATGAATTGGACAAATCCAATAGCACAGCTCTGTCCCCACTCGGCAAACCCCTACAGCAGTTAGATTAGCTGTGAAAAATCTAATCTAGCTAGAGCTAACAAATTTCTGCAGTGAAGGATCAAGAGTTCAGTATGGGGTTGCAACAGAATTGCAGAATTGAAAAAGTCCCCCCATGACAAGAGCAGAACAGAGCATGAATCACTTTAGAATTTTGCAGCTCATTTTTACGCTGTTAGGGACAATTTAGTTAGAGTAAGTCAAGGAATCATTGGCTGCCATTATGTGACTGATTTTTCTGCCTAACTATGAGACATCCTGGTAAAGAAGTCTATCATTAATGATGCTAAATCTTAGAGCCACAAAAGGTCTCAGCTGCTTTTTTGTTATTACAGTGAGGTCTATCTCATCCAGACCAAGCCTCAGGACATTATTTATAGCAGCATTATGTAAAGACAACAGTATAGAAACAAAATTTAAAAAGCCTCTAACTTAAGAAATACTTTAAAATTTTCAGAGTCAGTTGATCTAACATGGTTCTCCAATATGTTTTTGGTAATTGTTTATACTTACATATTTATTTAGTGTGAACATGTGTTTGTGTGTATATTTATTTATTTAGTGTGAGCATGTGTTTGTGTGTATCCACAAGACCATGCCAGGTACACATGTGAAAGTCAGAGTATAATTTGTAGTCAGTCCTCTCTTTTCATTGAGTGGGCTCCTGGGATAGAACTCAGGTCATCAGCCTTGGCACCAAGAATCTTTGCTTGCTGAACTTTCTGGGCAGTCCTCTAATGATTTTAAGAAAAGTTGTAAAGTCTTTTTAAATTTTAAAGAAGATGGAATAAAAAATTGTATAACATGAAAAAGAAATACTTTAAAACAGTTTATATGCAAATCTAACTTTAACAATAATTGTCAGTCATACACACACACAAAAAATCATAGAATATGGCAACAATATGCAGAGAAGGAAGACTTTATAAGGTGCCCCAAATTTAAGAAAATCACGTGAGTATAGCCCAGGTAAGTGACCCCAGATTCTGGGATATCAGTGAGCTACCCGATAGCAAAGCCCTTCTTTCTGTGAACACTGCAGTCATCAGAACCCAAGATGGACAATCAGCTCCTTCACACCTGTGGGAACCAGCACATGGCTAGCATTCCCACTAGCTGTGAGGTTCCCAGCCTAGGGAGGCCAGGGAAGTATGCAGGGTATGCGGGTGAAAGGCTGCTGAGTTTCTGAATGCAAATTGTGCTTTGTGTATCTGAGATACTTGATCACTATGGAAATTGTCTGTGACCCGAGTTCTGATGATGTCTCACATGCACTGTTGTTCATCATGTATGCAGTCCTGACATCTGTGGCTACCGTGGTGAAAAGGCAAAACCAGAGACAAAAGAAATGAGGCAGATACAGTAGGGTCTATGAGCTAGTATCAATCATCTGGCTAATGGGACAAGGAAAAAAAAATCAATTACACCAGTGGACAATGACAAGGGCGATGGTCAGAGAGTTCCTACCAGGTATCATGCTAAGCAATTTTTTTCAGGCACTGTCTCACTTATTTAACTCAACAGTTCTGTGCCATGTACTCCATTTTTAATCTTATTTAATACACGAAAGACTGAGGTACAAGCTGGTAAAGCAGCTAGACACACACTTGAGCCTAGATCTGTCTGGCTCTAGCTCCAAGCATGTCACCACACTCCCAAATGCCAGCACTTGAGAACTGCCCTCAGCTCTTCATATTTGCACTGTGAGAGGAGAGTGGGTGTGAGGTGGGAATGTAGACTCTGTTATCTACTAGCCCACAGGGGAAGCACAAATCACCATTGTTCTAGGATGTTCCTTTGATCTAGAAACTTACAGGAGTGGTTTTCTTACCAGATGACATTTTTCTCCCACTAATGTGTTCTCATCCAAAACCATGCCCCCTAAAGTAAACATTCTGCAGGCTGGGGAGTTCAAGGCACTGCCTCCTCGGTGGAGTTCCTCTGGGGACATAAGGTTGGAAGGTGAGGGAGAACAAAGGGCAAGCAGCCAAGGTGGGACATCTGGGCAGCAACACATCTGCAGGTTACTTTGCCAAACTTGAGAGCTCACTGTAACACTCTTGGGATGTGGAGAGGATGCTTTCCTAGAGCCTTACCAGAACTTTTGTCATAACAGCCATCATGTGTTGAGGCCTTTGCCAGTCTGTGAGGTAAAAATATTTTCTCTCAGGTAATTAACATGGCAGAAGATGAACACGGAGCCATACTGCAGACCCTTCTTATTGCTAGTCCCTAGCCTCAGACTTAGGGTGGCGCTAAGCTGGTATTTTAGATTCAATATAACTGTAGCTGGAAGAAGAGTGATACTGACTTTGAGGCCTGGGGAAAGCAGCCCAGTCAGTCTGTGCCAGGGTGTGGTCACCATCCAGACCCAGAGAGCCTCAATTGCATATGAATGCAGCCAGCAACTGTCCCAGAGGAGCCACCTTACCTTTTTGGTGAGTGAATCATCTGAATCTGATGGCATCCGAGTGGAAACGTGGAAAATTACTTCCACAGTTGAGGTAGCATAGTAAGGAGCCGTCTGTCCCGTGCTGCCATTGCGCTGAAGACCACCCATGAACCCACAGTGGGTTGAGAGATCCACCTGATGAAGGTCACAGAGAAAAGGTGAGGGTCAAAAGTGAGATATTTTATTCGTTAGGCAGGAATATGAGTTAAAAACATGAACTGTTTTCATTTTAATATATATCTTTCTGATTACAAATAAATATGTTATACAAAATTAAAATTTTAAAGAAAGGAATGAAGAATACCAAAAATGAAACTGGTCTGCAACCCTACTACATGAAAACCACTATCAAAAGAAAATTTTGTTTTGTTTTGTTTTTGAGACAGGGATTCTCTGTGTAGATCTGAAGCCTATCCTGGAGCTCACTCTGTAGACCAGGGCTGGTCACATACTCACAGAGATCCACCTGCCTTTTCCTCCCCAGTGCTGAGATTAAAGGTGTGCACCACCACCACCTGGCCCCACCATCAAAATTTAAGGACTGTCTGACCCAGAAGTACAGTGCTTGCCTGGCATGTGCAAGGACTTGGCTTTGATCCCCAGCATGGGTTGTAGCATAGATACTCAAAACCCAAAACACCAAAAAATAAATAAATAAAACTAAAAAATTTCCCGCCCTCCCCTGGGTTTTTTGGTGCACATTTCTCTAACTTTTCCCCCTCATGTATTAGGGTATGTACATGTCTGCATATGTCTGTATAGCAAATCCCTCTTATCTGGGGGAGGGTTTTGTTTCAAGATTTTAGGCAGTTATCTGCAACCACAAATAGTACTAAGTTGTTTCTCTATATAAAGACCTAAAATAAAGTTCAAGTTATCACTTAGACAAGTAATTAACTAAAAAGGAGAGCAAATCTAACAGTCTGATGTAATAAGAGTTACACAAATGTAGTATCTCTTTCAAATATATTCTACTGTACCTTGACCTCTTTACTTATTGAAAACAGTTTATGGCGTATGGCATATCCATATTGCCAACACCATTACTCTTAGACTCTGGGACTATGTATAAATACACACACACACACACACACACACACACAGAGACACACACACACACACACAGAGAGACAGAGAGACAGAGACACAGAGAGAGAGATTCTTCACTGATATATCTGTAGTACTTTCTCAAACTGAAGGAACACTCAAAAGAGTGTTTCTATAAAATGTCTGGGAAAACAGATGTTACACAATTTAGCAGTCATTACTAACCTGCCTTTCAAAAGGCTGCTTGAGTTCACACTACTGTCATCAGTCTACAGATGTTTCCCTCTTAGTGATTAGAGCTAAATTTTTAACTTGCTATAAACTAATATCTTTTTCAATGAAGTGTCCATTTTAACACTAGAAAATAGAAAATTTTTCTGTTCCAAGTATAACCAATCTTCAACCTGAATGAATGTTACAGTCACACTTATGCTTTTGTTTTCTGTGATTCTAGGGGTAGAACTTGGGGCCTGGAGTATGCCAGGCAAGTTCTTGACTACTGAGGTACACTCCCAACCCCCTTCTAGTTGTTTCTTTGAACTTGACTAAGAAGGCATGGTTCAAGAACTGATATATAAGTTAAGTAACATGTATCCTAACTTTATTAGCAACAGTGGTTCACTGCAAGTGCAGTAGCTCTTGGACTTTCTGGAAAAAGAATGGACTTGACCTTGATGTATTCTGTCCTAATGCCATCTTCAAGAAGGCCCTTGGTAAGACTGGACTCTTGGAAGGAAAGTAGTTCTTATTCAGCCAAGGGTTCCCTAACACAGATAACTCAGACAACTGAGAAACCAAAAGTAAGAGGAATTAAAAAAAAAACCAAGTATTTTCTCTACTTTGATCTCTATTAGGATCACTCTGAGTTCTTTTCATATTCTAGAGATATGCTTTCCTCTAGATTTACATTCACAGGAGGCAGGTATGTGTCTCTGTGTATATAGCCATTAGTTTATCTTTCAGTAAAGAAAACCAAATCCTTATCATTCATTCTGGAGTTGTGCATTAAGGAACAACACTGACAGTCAACCACATTCTGGTTCCAGTTTTTCACTTTATCCTGGTCCTCATTCAGTTTTCACCTATCAAGTCATTGCTTTTTTTCCCCTCTCAAATCCCCAGTGACCACATTTGTCTTCTTTTGCCACAAACTACTACCCGTGGCTAGCTGAGCCCATGTGACTACTCAGTTTTGATGCAAAGCAAATGAAAAGGTATTAAGGAAGAGGTAAAAGTTCACAGATAGAATATTGAAAAGAAACAGATTTTTAAGGTCAATACATTCTTCAAAAACTCTATGAATGCTGCATCTGAATATAAAAATATACCTAGGAACATACACAACTCATGTCTGCTTTAAATAGTTATAGTTAGCAACCACATAATGAATTAGGTTAATTACCTCCCATCCAAGACCAGCAACAAAGTCTTCATATGCTTGGCTTCCTCTTTCATTGGCTAGGATGGAACACTTGTCTTCTTGCCCTTCAGCAATGTAAAACACTGCTATCTTGTGTGTCTCACGGCTATAAATGTTTAAATTTAAAGGAGTTAGAATTGATACACACATACACACACACACACACACACACACACACACACACACACACACACACACAGAGTTTTCCTTTACTGTCATTGCCAGCATGACTCCTACTGGCACTCAGTAGGGGTCAGCCACTATTCTAAGGTTGATGCATGACCTTATTTGCATTCTGGGAGCCCCCAATTAGGCCAGTGTATCATCTGCTTTGCAGAGGTGGTTGAAAGGAGACAAAGGTTAATGAAGCAGGAGACCATACCTCAGACACTGGAGACACAAAAACAGCAGTTATCAGAGTACATCATCCACCATGGTTCTTCCCATGCTTGGTGAAGAACATGTCTGCTCGTGACCCCTTTGGGGTCAAATGGACCCTTTCATAGGTGTCACATACCAGATGTTTATGTTCTCATTAAAAACAGTAGCAAAATTACAGTTTTGAAGTAGCAACAAAAGTAATTTTATGGTTGGAGGTTACTACAAGATGAGAAACTGTACTAAAGGGGTGCAGCATTAGAAAGGTTGAGAACCACTGCTCTAAAGCATTTCAAATAGACATGTATTGTAAGTAGGTATCTACATTTTGAGGAAAGGATATGGACAGTTTTAAGACTGCAGCAATGAGACATCCTAAGACTTTATGAGAAATGGAAACACTTAAGTATATTCTTTGTGAAAGGATGTGTTCTGACTATTCTGAGGGCACCAAACATAGCAGACAGTTGTTCTGGGAAGATTCTTTTGGATATATAAACTCTTTATTTGCTTTCTCTATGATAGATTTGTGGGAGTTTCCCGTTAAATCATGTAATTATGATATGCACTTTGAAGAAAGAAGACCTGTCTGTTCATCTTTTTTTTTCTCTTTCCACATCTAGTATAACATTTGGTGCATAGTACAGTCTCAACTAAGTCTCTGTTAAACTGACCAGATACCCGATATCTGAATGTATAATTGCTAGTTTCTACAAATGATACTTGAAGTAAAGTATCAAAATAAGTTGAACCCTACCAAGCAATTCAGTGACAGTTTGGAGATAAAAGCACAGATGAAGCTTAATCAAGAACCACTCACTTGACAGCACTATTGTCAATGAGCTTTATTTTATCATAGCTGCAATGGTAAAAGAATTAGATCTCCACTTCCGGGGCAGCCCCACCCCTCTCACATTCCAATTACACCATGAAAAACTGCATAGGAAAAAGCATCAAGTGCTTCAGCAATACGGAAATGTTTCTACTGTCTAATTGTTTAATATCTCAACACTGTAATATGATTAGACATTCAAATTGGTAGATCTGGACTCCATATTTTAACAAATTCTCAAATATTTCCTTCTACATGGTTATTTTTTTACTTATTAAACAAGGCTAACCGAAGCTTAACCAAAACGTTACATAAATCACAGTAGGAGGAGGAGCATTCTTTCCTATTCATTAGCTAGCTATTGACCCCCCCCCATCATTCTCATGGAATAAATATATGTGAAGAAGAATCAGAAAATACAGGAAGAAAAGGAACTCTCAATCTGAACATGTAAACAAACAACATAATTTTCCACCACTGTAGGAAATGTTGAGAGGTGCTGGTGTTTTGTTTGTTTGTTTTGTTTTGTTGTTGCTGCTGCCTTTTAAGTGATAGATCTTAGAGGGTCTGTGAAATTCTGTAGTCAAGACCTTATGGAGTCTAGAAATTGCCATACCATTAACTGCCCTGAAAAACAGGCAAGGGTCAACAAGAAAGGACCCCCTACAATATGATTGGCTTATCACAGGAGCTGTAATAATCTGGCAGCTTAGAAGATGATAGCAGACATCCTAACCTTTACCTAAAAGGTTGTTTCAACAAAAGAACAAAAGCAGTTACAATTTGATTTCTGTCTAAAACTTTTACATACTTAAAAGTGGTTAGCATCCAATTTTTCTCTGTTCTACAGAGTTGACACACACAAAAACAACCTCAGGTCTATCTGAGATACATCAGTGTTTTATCCTTAAAGCCTAGGATTTTTCCATCCTGGGTCCTTGAGTCCTCATTTACTCAGTGTAGGAGCACAGAGGGCTAAGCTCACATGAAGGACTGACTGATGTGGGTGTGAGGAAAGGTGACCTTTAGTTGTAAACATTCATCAAATTTCACATCCTCCAAAATATTAGCACTGCAGAGAGCCTGCTAAGATGCAGACAGTGTGCCTGGCCTTGTTAGCGCCAGGCTTTTGAAATGGTAATTACAGCATCAACAGCACTTCATATCTACAAGCTGCACAACCAGTGAATGAAGGAGCAGGTAATTCAGGAACACACATACATAAAAATCAACAATACAGCCTTCCTTGTCAAGATGCATTTTTTCTTTCTTATTAGGAATAGAGCAAACTAGTTCCATTTTCTTGTGCTGTCGGTTTTAAAAATCAAACAAAGGAAAACATTTCTTTACCACACAGTGGCAAGAAAGCCCTCAGTGATGTGTATGTCCAGCCATCACACACAGTATAAAGACCCTAGTAGCTGCAAGACTATTTTTCCCTCAAAACATGTGAAGCAGGCACTGTTCCCACACAAAAGTGATATAAATTGATACCAGAAATAAATAGAAATGTCCTGAAAGTTGAGGGACAAGGTGTGTTCTTATTTGGTACCAGACCAATCTATGGTACAGGCTAGATTTCTTACAGGTAAAGAGCCACCAGACTTAGTTCAGGTTTTTAAAAGATAATCTTGAGAAATATCCTTTCCCATAAAATAAATTGATGTGCACTTAGAGGCCAAGAGTCGGGGTTTTAAGTGAAGGTTAATCAAAGGGCAGAAGATTGCCAATCAGCTACCCAAAGCTATATTTTACTGCAACAGCACCCCGGGGAGCTAATTCAATTGCACCTCATGCAACTAAAGTGCATTAACATTCAACAAATTGGCTACAATTACAAGATACCAGTACATTCACTTAATACTGGAGAAGCAGGGAATAATTCAGCATATTCTGGAAAAGCTGGGCTTGGGGTTCAAATGATTGTTCAACATTGAAGAACAAGAGTGAGTGAAATAAGTGCTTGAACCCTTCAGAAATCCCTCATGGACTTTCCAGAGGGCCCAGTCTCTGTTCTGAACAGAGCAAGGAGAGAAAGACTGAGCAGAAAAATGGCAGGGTCTAAAGCATTTTTTAAACCTTTTTGAAATTCAAGTTAAGCGTTCCTTGAATCAAGAAATGAAAACATTTAAAATACCAATGGAGTCCCAAGATCTGCCCTAAGGATGGTTTCTTTCTTCAATTACAACCACAAATGAATCTTTTAAACTTGTATAATTTTGTTTCTTGATACTAAAATGCTTACCACTGCAGAGCAGTAGGGTTACCAGGAGGAAAGGGCCTCACATCACTGCTGCTGGTGGAGTCAGGCTCACTACAGCCATTCTGGCACATTACCAACACTCAGAAAACATACAAAACAAGTACATGCTTTAACATGTGTGTGGCTCTAAGAAGCCATGATTGATAAGAAAGATACATGGGAAGGTAGAAAAGAAAACATAAAACAAAACAAACTATAGCCTCTTGATTCCTACATATTGGTCAATATAAATTAATGTATCTTAATTCTAAATTCTTCTGAAGGAGTAAAAGGACATATCGCTATAAGTAAGCTTAATATGATTTTATCTGCTGAATCTTTGGAGAGAGCAGAAGGTAGACAGACTAGTTGATAGGCAGAGGAGAAGGGAAGGGGGAGGAGAGGGAAGGAGAGGGAGAAGCAGGCAATAAAGGTAGTGAATTCCCAAGATGGTCAGTTTCTTTCTCAGCCTCCTGGCTTGAGACAAAAGCCTGGCAGTTGCCTCCCATCAGGCCTACTACTGATGAACTGGCTCAACAAGTTCAAGGTCCACAATAGTTGGGGACCAATCAACCATCTTATCTGTCTTCAAACTGACCAACCCTAAAGTAGGAAAGAGATCTCTTAAGAGACTTTAAAACTCCAAGACCTCAAGAAGATACTGGATTTTCAGCTTCCAAGTACACCTTCTGCTTTGCAGAGGTCTTTTTCTCTATGTGTTTGCTGCATGTGTGTGTTTCCTCACCCCCGATAAGCATCTTTCTTCAACTGCTGATTCTGTCTGTGATGCTTGAGATTTCTCTGCTGACACCTTCCTTTGAGCTTCAGATTTTCCTGCTTTTTAATTCTTTAACTGGCAGAGAAAATGAACCCAATTAAGACCTCTAGATTGAAAAAGATGTTTTTTTCATTAAGTTCTCTTAAAGGTAAGTGTGTGTGTGTGTGTGTGTGTGTGTGTGTGTGTGTATGTATATAAGTGTGCGTGCATATGCCTTTTCAATTCCAGGTGGAGATTAATAGTTGTTATTGTTATACCTAGGTTCAAGAATTCAAACCACCAACGAAATACCACAGTTATAAACCTGATATGCAAATAATAGTGACATGAGCCAAGCATTTACTTAAGAATAAAGAATAAAACCACAAGAAATCCACCTGAACACAAATGATAGTGAAAATGCATGCTTAGAAAATAGCATAGTGCTGACACAAAAACATGAAGGCTAGTAGACAAGAACCCAAAATAAAGCCATTTAGTTGAAACCATTTAATTTTTGACAACAGTGCCAAACATACACAAGGGAGAAAACCAGCCTGTTTAACATGAAGAAGAATAAGATTAGAGCCCATCTCTCATCCTACATAAAAATCAATTCAGGATGGACTAAAGACTACATTTTAGATTGAAGCTGCTAAAGAAAAACAGGGAAAATACTCAAGACAAAAGAATAGACAGGGATTTTCTAACAGCAGAGAAAATAATTCTAAGAACTAGCAAAAAATCACAAGGCTTTATAGTACAGCAAGGAAAAAAAATCACCATCCTGAAGGGAGCTACAGAATGAGAAAAAAACAAAAAAAAATTCATAACTAAAGTCAGACAGGTCCAAATATATAGGATATATAAAGAACTACTAAATTAAATAGCAAACCCCAAATCAACAAATAGTTTCATGAACAAGATAGTTCTTAAAAGAAGAAATACAAGTGGCCTCTAAATAATTGAAGTGTCCAATATCTTTAGACACACAGAAATGTCAATTAAACCTGCCTTAAGATTCTACCTTATTTCAGTCAGAATGGCTATCATCAAGAGAATAAATTCAAGTAGGGAGGATGTCAGGCTGGGTGCTTTATTCATTGTTGATGGGAATATACAGGGCAACCACTGTAGAAATCACTCCAAAGTGGTCATCTGTAAAGTGTAGCCTTCTCGATAGCCGCCTGGGCCCTGCCGTGCTGTCTGAACCCCCAAATAACACACAAGACACTATATTAATTATGAAGCTGTTGGCCGTTTTCTTGGTTTCTTATAGGCTAGGTCTGACTTGATTATTAACCCATAGTTACTCATATATATTTTACAAGAAGTTATCTTTGCTAGGATGCACTCCTGCCGTGTTCATTCCTCCCGAGAGTCACAAGGTGACCAGCCAGTTCACTACATTTCCCAGAATCCTCCAAGACTCCTAGTCCCACTTATCTTGCTTCCCTATTGGCCAACAGTGCTTTATTGACATATACACAGAACTTCCCCCATCAGTCACCCTTTAACAAAACATATGTAAACAACACTAAAAAGACTCAGTAGGTTGTATGCATATATGTATGTACACACAGACGTACATAAAAGAAAAATGTAGTAAATAAAGTGAGAACACACACACACACACACACACACACACACACACACACACACACACACACCCCACAACAACAATTAATGAAAAAGAGGCCATGAAATTAGAAAAGAACAAGATATGGGAGGTTTTTGTTTGATTTTTGTGTTTGCTTTTAAATTAACAAAAGCCTATGATTCCAGCTACTTGGAGGCTGAGGCAGGAGGACTATATACATGTTCAAGGCCTAACTGGGCTACAGAGTATGTTGAAGGCCAGCCTGGGCAACTTAAAAGAATCAGTATCCCAAAAACAAAACACCAAATGTTCAGTCAAAGTCAATACCAGCAGATTCTGGGCTACAGAAAATACTTTGTTATCACTATAGGTACCTTCTTTCCTGAAGCTGTATTTGATACAATGAGCTCATAAGGATAGACAGGGAAAAATATTTCAGTACACTTTTACATACCACTGACGTGAGTCCAGATTCTTTAGCTCTCTCAATAATTTTGAATTTTTCTTCAACAAATGAAAATTCTTCCTACAAAAAAAAAGATGGAAGAAGAAATCCATCTAACTCTGCTATTTTTAATCCAATAACAAACATAGCCATTATGGTAGTTTGAATAGGAATGGCCCCCATAGGCTCTTAGGGAATGGCACTATGAAGAGGTATCTTCTTGTTGGAGTAAGTGTAGCCTTGTTGGAGCAAGTGTATCACTGGGGGTGGGCTTTGGGGTTTTACAAGCTCAAGTCAGGCCCAGTGTCTCTCGCTTCCTACTGCCTGCGGATCCAGATGTAGGACTCTCAGCTACCTCTCCAGCACCATGTCTGTTTGTATGCCACCATGCTTCCCATTATGAGAACAATGAACTAAAACCTCTGAACCAGTAAGCCAGCCTCAATTAAATACTTTCATTTGTAGGAGCTGCCTTGGCCATGGTCTCTCTTCACAGAATAGTAACCCTAACTAAGACAGCCATCATCTATCCACTTACTGTCTCAATCACTGAAAAACTGTGATAGGTACTGTAGTTGTTTGAGTGAGATGTTCCCCATATTCTTGGGCATTTGAATACTTGTTCCCCAGTTGATGGTCTTGTTTAGGTAAGTTTAGGAGGTATGGCCTTGCGGGAAGGAGTTTATCACTGGGGACAGGCCTTAAGATTTCAAAAGTCATGTGACATTTCCAGTGCACTCTCTCTGCTTCCTGTTATCAATTAGATATGTGAGTTTTCCATTGTTGTCAGCTGTCATATCTACTACCTGCTGTTCCTGTCATTATAAATCCTAAGCATATGTCCAAATTAAGCTCTTCTTCTATGAGTTGCCTTTATCATAGCAAAAGAAAGTAACTAATTAGAAGGCTTCAAAATGAGCTCCAATATCCCTGAGTATGCAGAGACATAACATCAAGTTCACATTCCTCACCTATCCTGTAGCTAGACAGCAGTTTACTCACCTCGCAGTCCATTTGCATCTTGTATGAAAATAGAAACAGAAGTGGTCAGGGCCACAAGAAGGAAAGCAATGCTTTCTAGCTTTAAAGGAGCGACAATTCAGTTTTATTTCTAGTTTTAATCCAGTAGCTAAAAATAATCTATAAATACTGAAATCTGGAAAAACCTCTATTTCTTATTCTTTAACCTCAAATCGATAAAAAGAAGAATCCTTACATAGAAGTAATGACAAAACATTCATAGAACTGTTACCTTCTGTCCCAGGAATTCATTCCTAGGTCATCAAGCAACAACCTGCAGAAATAAAAGGGTCCTCGGGGTTCCACCGGCGAGGGCTGCCCTTGGCTGGTGACCTTCACTGCAGAATTAGAGTTACACCTCTGGACATACTCATCTTCCTGTATGCTCTGACGCAGGATGACCTCAATGATTTCCTTCTCTTGGTCACAGTTCATCCCACATGGGGGTGGCGAAGGCTCATTTAGATTTAGTTGTGATGGTAAAAGGCATTCAGGGCTTGTATGGCCAATGTTTTCAAGTAATTTGTCAAGTGCATCATCTCCCTCCTCACTGTGAGACAAATCTTTCTGAGGTCCACACGTATGTTGATGCCAGCCAGAAATCTGAAATGAGGGATTCCTTCCACTGGGTGCCAAGCGGCTTTCCAGAGGTCCATATAAAACCTTGCCATCCCAAGAGTACTTCCCTGAGATATCCCTCACAATGACTCTCACATCTGAGAGGGAACCCCCTGAAGTCCCTCCATCTGATGCTTCTGCAGGTGTCTGAAGGTAGGAGATGAGGGTACTATCATTAAATACGAAGAGCTGCAGGTTTGGGCTCCTGAACACCTCTGAGGACAGCTCAGCACCTTCCACATGGGCATTGTCATGGTTCTCACTGACCAGGCTGTGCAGTACAGCAGGGCCCCCACTCAGTGGATAGTGGCCTAGGTGGTTTACTAGGTGGGCCATCACCATTCGTGCAGTGAGGGGGATCAATTCCACACTTCTTCTCTTCTTCTCTGTGAAGAGCAGGAAGAAAATGTGAGGAGACTGGGGCCACTACGAGACTTCTGTCAGTAATTTCAATGTTTCATTTTGATTTTTGGTTTGGTTTAGGAGACACCTAAACTGGTCTAGAACTCATTATGCAGACCAGGTTGGCCTGGAACTCACAGATATCCACTTGCCTCTGCTGGGATTAAAGATGATTAAACATTACATCCAGCTGAATGTTTGATTTTTAATTGTAAGATTGTTTGTTCATTTTGACACTAATTCTATTTAAATTTAAGAAGATAGTTGAAACAGACTGCTAAAGAATCAACTTACATCAAGCTGTCACTCTGAAAGGGACTTTAAAATGTCTGCAGATAAAGGAATAAGCCAAAGAGAAGCATCCCCATGTTAGACAGATAAAATTTTGGGAGCTCAGATGAAGGTAAAACCCAGGTTGAAGGGGCAGTTGGGGCCAGAAAGTTGGTCAGGGAGGTTACTGTGGTACCCTCTGTTGCGTGAAGGTAGACTTAAAGAGGACATTAATAAACCTCGGGGTCATGTTTAAAGATTTGAAGCAGCTTGTTTAATAATCATTGTGACAATTTATGTTTTGTTATGAGGGCACTTAAAACATTTAAGAGAATTTGTCATGTTAATAAATCAAGGAGGCATTTAGAAGAACTTAACTAAATGTGTACTTGATGATTTAGTATCCAAGAGGAACTGATTTACAGAGTTTTAACATATATATATATATATACATATACATATATATATCTCACAGCTCAAGTAGCAGGGTTTTACAGAAGGGGGTTAAATGGAAAGGTAGATATACTAATGCTGTAACTAGAAAGTGAAATGAGTACTTCAGACTGAGAGTAGCTGAGGAAATTTCAATCTGCCAAATTTATAAAGCCTGATGTATCAATTTGATAACAAGTAAAAATGAAACTTCAAATTTTATGGGGAAGGTCTAAATATGTAAATTAAGGTCCATAATTTGAGCTATGAGTATTAGGAAGTAACTGGTTTTTAAAATCACAATATAAACAATCAAATATTAACACATAAATCACTGTAAATATATGTCTTAAAATATATATACAAATACACACATACACACACAACACATACATTAGTTTTAGATACTACCCAACCAGCTTACATATAACATATTTTTTTGTGCTATATAAAACCCCAGAAAGAAACAAATCTCTGAAATTTGGGGAATTCTGAGCAATGAATGAGAACAAGGTCACCGGGCTGGAGAGATGGCTCAGCCATTAAAGACTAGGCTCACAACCAAAAATATAAGAGAACAAGATCACCTTGAATTTTCTTGACTTTCTTACCAATTTTTTCAATGTACATGAAATCTATACCTATAATGGAAAATAAAGTGTCACACAAGTGGTCATTTACATCTCTTCCTAAACTTAAACTTTTTCCCACAACCTAAGAGAAATATGTAAGATTTCTACACAACAAATCTAATGCTCCGGCTAAGAAATGTTACTCCTCCAGAGAGTCACATGAAACCAGCTGGGAGTTCACAGTTCATAATGTGAAACACACCGTTGTCATGACAGCAGGGCAAGCATAAAACTAATGATAAAAGTACAATATGACAAAGGGCCAAGGCAGAAAATATCAGTTGGAAAACCAACTTACCTCTACTTTTGCTCACAGAGGTTGTGCTTTTGGGATTTTGTGAATATTTGAATTCTACAATGGGAGAATAACTTGGTGTCATAACAAACTATGACACGATGGCACTTCTAATAAAATCCTGACTGGAGTCAGGAAAAGGAGCATTTGTGAACCACTGATCTCTCCTGTTGCCACATTTCAGCTAAGTCTACTTCCTATATGTTCCCTGAGAACTGAAGATGATCGGGACTCAACTAATGACAAGCCAGCTCAGTGTTTCCACAAACTATTAAAAAGAAGAAGATCCTTCATGAAGCCCTTCCCCCTTTCTTCTACTTTAAGTAGTTATTAACAATGATCAATCTGAGCACATGTGCTCACAGATGGCTTGACTACATATCCTGACTGTAACTTTATTTAAAAGTAACAATTGTATCCAGAATAGGCAATAGCCTAAGTAAGTCAACACAACAGTGGTGAACCTATTTTAGGGTGCACCATATACTCTGCACACCAACCTGATCATAGCCTGCTGTGTCTCTTCCCTCTTCACCAAAAGCCCATGAGAGGGGTCTGTCACAGGTTTGAGTGGTCACCAACTCATGCTATCTAGCTAATCTGGACTAAGTGTTTCGGTAATGTCCATATCTCAACACTTCCTGGCAAACACAGTCCCTTTCTGCTCTCTGCTTCCATTGGCTTCTTGAAGCACACAGCACTGCTAACTGCTTATGCACCACTTACTCTCTGACTTTGGTGTCTAGGAATGACCTCTAATGACTCTATGTTGGTCCTTTTCCATGACCCTGACTTTACTTACTTGGTGACAGCCTCTCATTACTTTTCCCTTAAGGATGCTTTGCCATGAATTCCATTCTTGATCCTAGCTTTCAAACTGAAAAGCTTTATGCAAAATCCCTGGGTGATAGTGTACTACTCTGTAGCCACATTTACAAACTGTTAATTGAGTCAGTTGAAGATTCATATACAGTAATAGGAAATAAAAGAGATCTTAACTACCCTTCATCTCAGGGGTAACATCTCAGATATACAGTCCAATACCACAACCAGGAACCAGACATTAACATAACCCATTAATAAATTGGTATATACCAGTTTTATACATTTATATGTGCTTAGTTTCATGAAAATTTGCCACACTTATAATGACCCGCTCACTTTTCAGACAAATATTCCAAGGCTTAGATTGGGTGCATTTCATTTGGATGAATGGCTAAGGGGGAAATACAGCAGCCAAGTCATAACAATTTCCATAGACTTGTCTGCCACGGAAACACACCCTAAGTGGGGTCAAGTAAGCTCTCAGCTTTCTTCATGAGGTGCTTCTGTTCCAGTATTCTCTATGAGCTCCTTTAAAGCCTACCCTCCTTGCTGTGTCTAGCTTAATTCTTCCCTATGGGAAGTCCTGAGGATGCTACTAGTTCAGTACTGTCCTATCTCTCCCACCAGATATAAAATTTCTTGAGGAATGAGAAAGGAGCCCTTTTTTTTTGCATTCTATGGGTATGAGACAAGAGATTTTCAGTAATACAAAACCATGTGAATAATTTAAGATGAGAAAAAAAGAAAGGAGGAAAAAATAACAGGAAGAAAGAGAAAGAAACAGGAAAGGCAATTTGCCATCAGAGACCCTATAAACTGGGACTTCAACAAGTAGATTCAAAACAAACCCAAAACACAAGGATGGACAAGACTACAATCTCACTTCTTCCTGCCCATAAGATTGTATATTTGTAGACATACGCACCCTCTTCCACGGTCAGCAGGTTCCCCAGGTCTGATGATGAATGGTACTGGACCGGCTCCGAGTTCCTCACATTTGCTAGAGGCAGGAAGGGGTCATAATCCGTGGATGACAAGTCAGCCAAGGTCAGAGTGTAGTGACTTTGCTGTGTGTATGTGCTTGAGCCACAGACACAGCAGTGCAGAACCTGAGGAGAACAGACAGGAATGGTACTCAGTATGCCAATACCTCCTGACCCTTGACAAACTGTCCCCACAGTGCTTGCAAGACAGGACTTCTACTTAGGAACATGTCAAAGTATGGGGTTGTTTTCATTCTTAAATATCTTTTTGCTATAAGCAAGTCAGTAGCAATACCTACATTCTCAGGCCAAAAGGAGCACAAGTGAAAAGGTTTCTGTTCTTGTGTGACTGTAAGATTTCTCAGTCCCTCACCCTCCAAAGGCAACATAAGTGGAAGGAACCAGACCAGGAGATGAAAGACACCTATGGGAAAGTCCTCATGATAGAGGGCAGAGTGACCACAACCTGAGTTTAAATAAGTACAACGCATGAACCAATGAATTATAAGGGATAATTTAATATGATTTTGAAAGCATAACTAAATAAAAATAAATTGAAAACAGATTTTAAAGTCTCTCACTTCTCACAAAGTGAGATTTCTTAACTCCTATCCTAAGGATTTTTTTCCCTTTTGTTTTGGTTCTAGTCTTGAGTCAGGGTTTCATTATATAACCTAGGCAGCCTTGAATGCAAGGCAATCCTTTTGTCCCCATGCTCCCAAATTCTGGGATTACAAGCATGCACCACCACACCTTCCTCTTGAGGTTTCTTTAAGGCAAAGAAATTACTAGAAGCATTATGGGTTTTTTCTTACTTTGCTACAACAGATCTTTGGATGCTGCAGACCCTCCTATAATAGAAACAGTCCATTTTGAAATTAAGTAGGCAGAGATCATGTGCCATGAAGATTGGGGGCATTCTGATCAAACAGCAGTTGTTTAAAGACAACAGTCATGTGAAATGTATGTATCTTCACCTTGGCAACTACTGGCTTTCTACAACTGTGTGTGTTCTGTTTATTCATTAATTATTCATTTCTTTCCAAATACTTAACCTTCCACAGCTCCTTTTCAGAAGGCACAAATACATGAATGTACAACATTTTGGTAATTTTTAATCTGTAGGTCCGCTGTCTATGCCCAAGGCTTAGGGGAGACTCACCCTGTAGATATAATCCAGCAAGGGAGCCCGGGGTGGGTGCAGCTCCTCCAGGACTGCTGTGGACACAGGGTGGAGAAGGGCATTCACAGGCAGTGCCATGCACCAGTCCAAGAGGCAGAGGAGCAAGGACACAATAAACTAGAAGAAGAAACATATCCAGAATCTCATTCTATGGCCCTTAGGACCCACTGGAAGTAAAAATAAACAGAATTGTCCCTGTTCAATATTCAACTGACACACAAATGCAGGATAAGTATGTATACAAAAACGGCTTTCATAGGAAAGCATATTAAAGCCACCACCATAAAAGGATGTAATAAATGATACCATCATCAGGAATATTAGATACCACTCTGTCTTATACTTAAAAATTACTGTGGGGGAAAGCTACCGAACATGACACTTACCTTTTTATCTGTTTCCACTGAGGAGTACTCTGCACTTGGTAAAAGAAATGCAATTGTGGCCACAAGGATCTGCATAAAAGATAAAACCCAATCAAGCAGACCATGATAGTTTGGAAGCTATATGCTAAGAATCCCAAGATGACCTTACAACTAAACACAACTTGGTACCTACTCACTAATGATGATAGAACACTGAGGACCAGTTGTAGCAGATTTGAAAGTAACGATCACGTAATGGTTTCTACGTCTTTGGTGGGAGACTGGGACCTCATAGTAAGGAATAGTTCTCTCTATAGCCACGTAATATCTACTATTATTCCTACATTTCCAGTAAAGTGAAAAAAGTTCAAAGTAATTATGAAAATAATTTACTACTATAAATTAGCATAGGTCTCCATCTCCTGTTCCCACATCACAGCATGCCAATCTTCTTCACAGGTATCCTGTCTGGATAATTACAAGGTGACACTAAACCCAACTTTACATTCTGAAGCAGAGTAAAAGGTCTATTTTACTCCAGGTCATTTCAGGTCAAAAACCACTTGTGACTCTTGATGTGATTCTGAGAGAACAAAGTGATCCCAACCAATGAAGTCTGTCTAGGGCTGGAAGGAAATGAATCTGCATCACTTCTTCTCTCTCCCAGCCATCCATCATGGGGACAAATCTAATTTTCTCAGAGGATCCACTAGATGGGTAAGGAACAGGGCTTGCCTGAAGAAGTACAGTTATAAAAACTGCCAGGCTCTGTGAGCTAGTCCCTGCTCTGTTCTGAGCAAAGACCCTTTGGCTGTAGCAGACCTCTGAGAAGCTGTGGTTGAGTACTTCCTGTTCCTCCTGCCTCCTCTCCTGGCTACCTCCCCATCAGAGGCTAATACTGCACTGATCTCATTACTGCTGAGTAACTGCCACAGCAGCAAGCGTGGCCCAGGACTTTAGTCTGGGAACAACTGCTTTACACAACAGCTAAGCACCAACCCTGGAAGGAAGGCATTAAACCAGCTGCCTACTCCTTGTTGGCACCATCCAAATTACTCTCAGTGAATAAAGCCCAACCTACAAAAGGTCTCTTTGTTGTGGTTGTGTCTGCCTTTCAAACTCTCCAAGCATCAGCCTCTGCCCTGTAACACTGCAGACTTCTTTGCACAGTGCCTAGAATTGCAGCTGAGAAGAGCCAGCCAACACTGCCTGAAAACAGGGCTCACATGGCAGTTTAATAGTTGCTTCTCTAACAATTATTTGAGGATCTACAGTTAATTAGATATCAAATACATTAGTAAGAAGGGAATGCAGATGCTTTAGCATTGTAGATAAAGGACTTACTTCTGCCATTTTTCGCGGTAGAGCAGTTTCAAACATCTGAAGCTTTTCCCAGTAGGAAACCAGCAGCTGAAGAACATCACAGGCTACCTGAGCCACAATCTTGTTAGGAAACTACAAAAGGAACCAAAACCCCCAAGTAAACAGAGCAGCAGGTGTATGTTCTGGGGGAAGAACAGGGCTGTTTGCTCTTCCCAATTCTATACACATATCTCATGTGCAATAGTTGAAAACTCTGTCTAATTAACATCATTTGCACACAACTACTCCATCATTCTACATAGCTGATTGTTTGGAATTACCTACATTAATTTATATATCTGTAGAAAAATGTGGCCATTATTTGCCTAGAAATTAAAAGCCTAAGTTTAAAATTCTATATTCAGCTAATATAAATCATCCTATTGTCAACTTGAGGAAATTAAAATGGAGTGTCCTCTGTGTGCTGAAACTTCTACACAAATGTAACTTTTTCTGTCATTGACAAATTGACACTGACAATTCTGTAAGGAAGATGCTATCTTCATCTGACACAGAGACACAGGGATTAAACAAATGACTTCCTAACTGAGGAAATAAAATAGCACACATGTAACATATTAATGAATGTGTAAAAGCAGACTTTAAGGACATGGGCATGTTCAATGACTCTGGATGTGTTTGCCAAAGTTGTCTGTGGCGGCTTAAATGAGAATAGTCCTCATAGGCTAATATGTGCTTCAGTCAGTAAAACTGGAAGGGCAGAGACATTTAATACCTTGACATCAGACATAGAGCTACAGGATTTGGAGTTTGCCCTGCTGCATTTCAGTATTCCATTATTTCCTCACTATGCCCTGATTTGCCCCCCCGCCCCTTTGGAATAGCAAATGTATATTCTGAGCCGTTGTATGTTGGAAATATTACATTTGCTTTTATAATTTAAAAGGGTTACAGTTAAAAGATTGCCTTGAGTCTCAGAAGAGACTTTGAACTTTAACCTTTTAAACTGTACTGAGACCGTGAAAGGCCATGGGACTTTTGAAGTTGGATTGAGTGCAGTTTACATTATGATATGGCCACAAGCATATGGGGGCCAGGGAGTGGAATATGGCAGTATGAATGAGAATGGCCTCCACAGGATTGTACATTTGTTTGAATACTTGGTCCCAAGTAGTTGGACTGTTTGAGAAGGATTAGGAAGTATGTCCTTCTTGGAAGAGATGTGTCACTGGGGGTGAGGTTTCAAAATCCCATGCCACTCCCAGTTAGATCTTCATCTACCTCATGGTTGCTGTCTTAAGATGTGAACTCCCAGCTATTGCTCCAATGGCATGCCTGCGTGCCGTAATGCTACCTGACATGATGGTCATGGACTCTAACCCTCTGAACCTGTCAGCCCCAATAAACTTTTTCTTCTATAAGGTGATTTAAGTATGGTGTCTATTTATAAAAATGGAAAAGTAACTAAGACACTGCCTGGACACCCTATCTATCTATCTATCTATCTATCTATCTATCTATCTATCTATCTACCTACCTACCTACCTACTTATTTAGTTGTTTATTTTGTGAGGTGGATGTCAAAGAGGTAATATGTACAAAGCCTTTGAATGGGACGAGGACACCCTGTGCTTCCAGCCTTGACCAGGACCTAGAGGCTACACTGCTATCCACACCTTATTGACAGCACATGGCTTGCCAGTGGCCTGTACTGCTTAATTTAAATCACATGAACATTCAGGGGCTCTTCACAGTCTTCCTACCTCATCTAGACTCCAGATGACCTGACTGCCACTGGCCTCCTCCCACCCTTCAAGCACCCTGGGTGTTTCTGTCCTAGGGCCTTTGTACTTGTTCCTGGATTTGCTTCAGATTTTTAGTTCCCAGGTCTAGTGTACCTGGCACTACTATACTGTTCAGATCCTCACACAAAATTTCACCATCTCCATGAAGCAGTCCACCTCTTCCTCTTCCTCGGTTTTATCCCATCCTGTTTCATTTCCTCCACACTATTATAGGAGATTGTAGCGTATTTTACTATTTTCTTATATTGTTATCACTGTTGGTGGAGCTAACAAGGGTGTATACAACATGTTCAAGGGGAAGTGAAAGAATGAATGGGAGCTAACAAGGCTCTTAAAAAGCTGGAAACAGACAAGGGGAAAGTGACAAGAGCCATGGGAGACAAGGCAAAGGTCCTTAGGGGAGAATGAGGAGATGGGACAGAGAGAAAGTGGTAGGATGGAGGGCTGAGCTGCGTCTGGAAGGATACAGATAGAGAATTGGGTTCCCTTGTAGGTGAGCAGCAATATGTGAGTGCCATAGAGGCACAGGTTCTGAGGCAGCTAAGGATCCTGAGATGGGGACTGCCAACGGGGTAGCAGTAAGCATACACAGTAAGAGAGTTGAAGGATGGTAGGGATAAAAGAAATCACTCACTCACTCACCTAACTCCATGAAAGACTGACAGTATGCCAACATAGAATTAAAGGCCAGAGAGCTGAAGGCATAAGATGAGTTCAGCAGGTGAGTATAGCTTGTGCTTTCTAGGAACAGGAGTTGTTATGGAGCAGGTTTGTGTCTGTCTTGTTCGCCAGAGTGGTCAGATCTATGTACAGACAGTGGAACAACCTGGTACTATGATGGACAACCTGACAGGGCAAAGACACAATGTGTATAATTGTCTTTTTTCATGGTACCTTATGCTTTTCCTCATAATTACAGAAAAATTGCAGGTTTTGAGAATCCATAAACATTCAAAGAAGAAAATATGTTATCTGTGATTCTATTTCTCTGCTATATCAATCTCTCTAAAATAAATAAATAATTTATTTAATATGTATGGGTATTTTGCCTGCATGTATACCTGCACCATGTGCATGCCTGGTGTCTTTGGAGGCCAGAATAAGGTAACAAATCCCCAGGGTTACAGACAGTTGCAAACTGTGGGTCTGGGAACTGAACCTGGGTCCTCTGGAAGAACAGCCAGTGCTCTTAACCAATGAGCCATCTTTCCAGCCCCAAGCTATTACCAATTTCTATTTCTGTTTTATACTATATAGGAAGTTATACACGTCTAAGATACCATCAAATTATTAACAGTGTTCTCAAGTAAAGGATAGAGCTAGGGAACTAATTTAAATGTGTACATTTAGATTTCAGAAAACAAAAAAACCTGAAAAACATCTTAGAATTGAGAAAATGGGGTATTTAAAAATGAGTTGAGACCCATACAAATCAACAGCTTATATCCAGTATTTTTCCCTCTTTGGTTTGGAAGTCAGAATCCTGCACATTGAAGTTATATAAAGCCCTAGGCACGAGGCCACAGCATCCTAGTTGGACCTGCCAAGGATCTCAGTCAGTCCATTTCCCACATCCCTCAGCAGTGTTACTTCACCTCCTGAGACAGTTTTCATTATAAATATGATGGTAAGGGGAGGAAACTGTGCCACGTGGCATCATCGTTTACAAATTCTTACATTCTTCTTCAGGGGATCAGTGGTAGGTACCTGTCCAGGTGTTATACAGTAGGGCTAGGGGATGAGGTGATGGGGAGTAGAGGACACATGTGGGGAACAAGAGGTATTGAGTTTGGTCAGGCAGGGACCAGACCATGTGTCCCATTCCAAGGATGAAGAACACTGTAGGTCAATCATGAACCAAAGAAGACAATACGCAAAGGGCAAACAGAGATGCCACTGGTCTAAAGACAACTGCCCAGAATCTGCTGTAATCATTGTTACTATGACAGCTTCAAGAAGTGGATGAAGGGACTGGACAGATGGTTCAGAGTTTCAGTTCAGATTCAGCTGAATCCTCTTACAGCCTGAATAAGCTCCTTGTATCTCCTGCCATCAGTTCCCTTCTTCACTAGTAAAATGGGAATACTTCCCTTGCCATTGAGAACTTACACAATGCCCTCGGCACAGTGCCTGGCAGAGATTCACTGGTTCTGCAAATCTGATAGTAACAGTGCTAATTATGTCTACTGTTTCTGCACAGGAACCAAAAAGGGCGGGATGCAAGCTCCGCTTTAGTAGGCAGCCTAACTGCACAAGTGGAAGTTCAATTATGTCCTTTATGCCACGCATATCTACTTTCAATGCAGGCTCTGTCACTCATATCTGTATTGCCTTAGACTTGTGAGAGGATTTCTCTGGGACTTGATTTCTTCTGGGGTGCTCACCTTGCAGAGCACCACAAAAACTCTAAAAAGTATCAAGAGATTACCAATATTCTACTTTCATGGATGTTCAACAATTTGTACACCTCTCAGTAACAAAGCAAAGAAGGAAGAAGCCTCCAAATGCCTTATGTTCAGGCAGCAGGTGACCACCCAGGCTCCTAAGGAGAAGCTGCAGGCTCCTATCTCAGTCATGCCAAAGAGGTCACAGCTTGAAACCTCACTTTCTTATATTCAAAGATGTCCAGCCACCAGAAGAGACTCAACTGGCCCAGGCTTGGTCCACAAACTGACAACGAATGACCTAAGAACAGCTGTCAATAGTGAGGCAGCCACTGGCAGCCTTACAGAATATTTACCATGGCCCTCAGAATGGGTCTTTGAAAGCACTGTCTCTCTATAATGTAGGGAGCTGCAAAAGTGGATTAATTAAAACTAAAACCGGTTAAAATACTGGGAGAAAGCTTAATGTCAAAATACATTAAGAAATGGGAATACCGCCGGGCGGTGGTGGCACACGCCTTTTTTTTTTAATTTGAAATTAAATTTAATGTACAATAAAGTAACAGAAAAAAAGAGCAGGAAGCAGAGAAAAACCTTCCCGGAGTCACAGAAATAAAAGAAATTTGGGTGTGGTAGTGCACGCCTTTAATCCCATCATTCAGGAGACAGAGGCAGGTTTGGAACTCTGAATTGCAGGCAGGTCTGGTCTAGGTAGTGATTTCCAAGGCTATGTGCCCCTCTCCTACTGAAATCATACATGGAATCAGGCCAGGCAGTGTGGTTCCACTAACTTTAGTTCCACTAGCACTCACTCGGGAGGCAGAGGCATGGGGTTCCATGACCTGGTCTACAGAGTGAGTACCAGGATAGCCAGGACTGACTGTTTAGACCGGGGAGCGGTGGGGTGAGCCTTGGTCCTTCCTCAACAAGATGACAGGAGCACACTAAGTTGACTTCCTAGGGGAGGCCTTAACCTAGGGGGAATCTTGTATTTTGGAATGTAGAAAAACAAGATAATAAATTTAAAGAATATTTAAGAAGATAGATCGATTTATTTGAAAGGTAAAATTACTTGGTAGTATTTAGTTTGAGAACTGGGGGTAGGCCTGGGTGATTGGCGGTGGCAGCAGGAAACACAACAGCAAACACAAAAACAAGTGCCAGCAAGTGGTAAAATGTTTTTAAAAAGGAGATTCAAATGGCGCAGAACTGCCATCGCCGCCTCCTTCCCTCCCTTCCTCCCTCCTACTCGCCAAGTCTCACATCCATTTATTGTGCCAGCCTTCCGCCGCGCCAGCCCTGTGTGGCCTTGTAACTGGCCGGTCAGTGACACTCTGTGATCTGAGCCTCCCTCTTAGAGAGTGACTCGCCTGTTTTTCATAGCTTCCTGCCATACTTTCGCTTTCATCAGCTGAGGAGGTCGGCTGGCCATCCCTGATTTCACTGTATCCCAGGCCAGGGGGTGGGCGCAAGCCTTTAATCCCAGCACTGGGGAGGCAGAGGTAGGTGGATCTCTGTGAGGCCAGCCTGTTCTACAGAGCTAGTTCCAGGACAGCCCCTAAAACAATACAGAGAAACCCTGTCTCGAAAAAACCAAAAAAAAAAAAAAAATTAATGGGAATACCTTCAGAGTTACACCTATCACATTGATGGCATCCTTGACTTGAGGATGGCTGGCACACTGTGTAAGCTCTTCACAGATCCAGACCCCGAGGGAGCAAATGGCGATGCATCTTTCAAAAGAGAAGCAAAGGGAGGAAAACACTCATGAAATTCAATATATTTTAAAATGACAAAATAAATCTATTTATTCAAAGAAGCAACAATTATAGATATACTAACAATATTTTCCTTGAGAGAAAAGGTAGAACTTCCAGTGGGCCAGTTTTCAGGATAAACAGAATCACCAATGCTAGTCAGTACTTAAATATTTCATGAAACAAGTGGCAGATTTTCTGTTAACTACCACAATCCATGTCACCCATTTTAATTGACTCCAAACTGTTATTACATTTTACCGTTAAGATAATTTTGAGGAGGGACAAAAGGCATGGATCTTAGAATATTGAAAATTCCCTTACAATGTATATAATATATACTCCAAATGTAAGACAAACACTATATTTGATTTTAAAGTAACTTCAAATTAGGGAAAAGGAATTACAAAAACTATTTGATAGCGTAAGAAGATTTTTAAAAAATCAGATATATTCCACAAGACTTTGAGTTGAAAGCCCGAGGAAATATTTTCATTTTTTTGAGATGACATCTGAAGGACATCAAGCTTAATAGGGTAGGGAATGTCAGAAGGCACTAGAAAATTCAGTTCCGGCTGTGTCATATTTGCACGTTAAGATAGCCGACTTGAGATATTAAGTATACAATTAACATCTAAGCCTGGCTATGCGAGAAATTCATTAAAAGGACAGGTAAATAAATTGGAAATGATCAACAAGCATTTATATACTGACTAGAATCTGTGAAACATGCAGGAAGTCATGGGGAAATGCTAGGGCCAGACCCAGTCGCTGGGTCACCTTAATATGCACAAGTTAGGCAGAGAAGTGGCATTAGCACAGGGATCACAAAAGGAGCAGTGGACAGAGGAAGGGAGGCTCTGTTGCAGAGGACAGGCATTGTTTAGAAGTGGTTAAAGACAGACTAACTTCAAGAGTTTTAAAAATCATAGTAAAATCTCTAGAACAACCTTTATGAGAAGTGAATAGAAATCAAGTCAAAAAGAAAAACAGCATAGATAAAGAGGTAGGAAAAAAGGTAGTAAACAAAAGAAATGCTTAGGAGTTCCAATAATATTAAATAAGATGAAAAAACATACCCAAAAGATCATTGGTAATAACAAATACAAATGAACTAAAGTCTCCATTAATAGACGAAGATCACACAAACTTATACAGTCATAAAATTCAGATACATACAGCTTTTGGAAAGGCATTGTAAAAACAATACAGAAAAGCTATTTTGAAAAGATAAAAAGTATTATATAGCAAAGTGGTTTCTAAAATAAACCATCCATAGAAATAGAAAGGACCATATACACATAAATACATTTGAGTCACTACAGAGATACAACAATTACAAATGCCTATGCAACTAATAACCATCACAACCTTTGACAGAAATTCCAGGAAACAGATTAAGGTTCAACAGTGGAAAGCTTTTAACATACCTTTCAGCAAATGATCAAATTAATAAAAACAAAACAAACTCCAGGAGGAATGCAGAGTATGTGAAACGCTGTAAGGTTACATATAGAACAATATACCTCACAATTAAAGAACAATATGTGCATTTTCTTCTTTCTCCTTTAAATACAGTATTTTCCTTTTTTATTTTATGTTTATGGGTATTTTGGCTGTATGTATATTTGCAGTGCCAAAGGAGGCTAGGAAATGGCACTGGGCCCCTGGGGTTGGAGTTACAGATGACTGTGAGCTCCTACGTGGGTGCTGGGATCTGAATCCGAGTTCTCTGTAACAGTAGCAAGTTCTTTTAACCACCAAGTTATCTCTCTAGCCCCTATGAACATTCAAGAATATATGGAACATCTTCTAAAACTGGGGTCCTAAAGCAAATATTAACAACTTGAAATACAGTAGAGGGTAGAGATGGGACAGTGGCTAAGAGCACTTGTTGCTCTTGCAAAGGACTGGCGCTCAGTTTCCAGTACCCACATGGTAGTTGACATCCATGTATAACTCTAGCTCTAGTCAAAATACTAATTCATTAAAATTAAAAAAAAAGATACATCTAAAAAAATTTTAAAGACAGAAATAACCATATATTAGGAAAGTAATAAAAAGCCCTCATGATCTCATGAAGGAATAATAATGCAAGGTAGAAAAAATGGAATTTAAAAATACTGCATATTAAAACTTACAAGGTTTGGAATAGGTAGACCCTAACAATAAGCATGTAGTCTTAAATGTTAAAGGAGAAAAGTTAAAAATACACCAAGTACGCATCTTTAAAAAGTAATAAAAGAATAACATTACAAGTAGAAGAGTATAAAAGAGCCCAAAGCTGAAAATAAAAACAAATGTAGAGAGGTAAGCAAAGATGACAAATCTAACAAGACTACCCTTAAAACCAGAGAAAATAAAATATTTAACAGCAAAGATGAAATGAACAAATTCGTGGACACTTATGCTAGTGATATCTACTAATACACAAGGATAATAATCCTGCTGCAAAAGACATTCAGGGTGTGGAGAAGAAAAAAATGCATTTATTTTGTGACTCCCTTGCCTAACATCCAAACAGGGGGAGGGTATGATAGGAATGGAAAATTACAGACGTTGGATGTAATGTAACTTCCTGAACAAAATACTACCTAAACCAGAATCTATAAATCAAGGTGAGGGTATCTCATGCCCAAGTTTACTTCAATGTTAGCAAACTGGAAATGCACACATAGGTTCTGAAAATGGCAGACTAGGAAAACTGGACTAATCCATCTATTGAAGATAAGGGAAGTTCAGAGAAATACAAAAGCTAATAAACTTTAAAACCATGAAAGTTTACAAGACAGTAAAGTTAGAGGCCTTTGGCTTCCCATGTGCCTAAGGGCCAGGACATGTGCTAATTGCCATGAAACAGCCAGAGACTGAAGAGGCCTTACAGGGTTGGAAATTGAGTGAGAGATGGAAGCTCTCAGCATTCCCAGTTTCGGCCTACAACTTGAGAGGGGAGGGAGGAATTTTTTACCACACAGCTGACCTAGAAAGCCTCATATCTTGGTCACAGACTGTAGCAGTTTTAGATGCTTGGCAGAAACACCCAAATAATTTGTTCACATTGCTAGATCAGTTCAGAGTCTCTGCCTGAAACATACAGCTTTTATGAACTGTTGCTTCATCCCTCTTTTTTCTGAGGACATCATTTATTTCTAATCTTGCACTTTCTTATGTAGAACAGTGTTCTCCATCTAACTCTGCATCTTACTCTTCTCTCTAGTAATAATGACATCGTAAGTAGCTAAGCAGAGCACCTTTCTGACATAACGCTTACTACACATTTCATTGCGGGTAGGAGAAATGGAAAGGATTTGTTTTTACACATTAACTGTAATACATAAATGTGCATCTTAAAATTCTATCATAGTTTACCTCTTGTTCATCATTTACCTTGCACATTCATTTGGTTCCTCGGTAGCATTCTTCAGTAAAATATTTATGAGGTAATGCTAAAAACACAAAATTCAGTAAATGAAAATTTGATGTCATTGTTGGTTTCCCGCATGTGCTGACCATGTCACAGGCACCCTGGAGCTAGCGAAAGGCCAGGGAGTTGGGCAGCCCTTCCTTCAGAAAGAACTCGGCTCACCTCAGCAAGTGCCTTCCTGGGTTACTGAGCCAACCTGCAGCACAGCAATTCTAGGGATCCAGTGGAAATCAAGCAAAGCAGCTGAGAGAGACTTCCAGATAGGAAAATCTCCATTTTATTTTGATTGGATTACACACTGCACATTGAATTATAGATTATAATCAGAGTTACAGATTGACTGACTGGTGCTGGGACTTTCTGTTTATTTCACATGTTAGCTGAGGACAGAAAAAAAATGCTTACTTTTATTCCCCAAGAAATAATTTGGAATTTCAGGTTATTAGTAGCATTTAATCAGGCCAGCAATGGGATTGAATATTTAGCTTATTGGAATTATTTCTTATAAATTCATTTGCTACACTAATGCAGCATAACTAAGCTAACAGAATTATTACAAATAATGATTCATTACATAATTATGATCCCTAGGAACAATAAACAGAAAAAAAAACCACCAGAGGAACAGAGCTATCAGGTCTAACTGCAATATGTTGTGAATGCGATACATTCACAGTTGGTACAACTCACTTCTGAAAACAACTCGGAAGCTTTCAAGAGATACAGCAAATGTCAGGGGAAAGCAGATCAGGGCATAGAATGGAAGACACAGTGATGTAACTCCAGTCATAGATGCTAAACTCAATATTCAGTTATGTACCTTGACATCTTCGGTTCCTGTGATGACCTCACTCATTTCTGGCACTGATTGCAACAGAGGGATCTTCCGGTAGGTATTTGGAAAACAGACAAGGGAACCAAGGAGCGTGAGAGCTTCTGAACGGGGCACCTGCACACGAGGAGGGAAAACCAAGTTTCTTTACATAAGCTGCAAGCTTGAAGAACATGTTTTACTCTTTGTTCTGGTTTTGAGAGGGAATTATTTTTCCTTCTAGATATGAAACACTTAACTATTTGTGGTTATTTTCCTGGTGGATGTTCAGACAAGAGAAGTCTGTCTAAATGCAAAGGCAAATTTCCAGGGAAAACATCTCAACATTTGATGTAAACAAGTGTTATGAAAACTGGTCTACAGACCAATTCAAAATTAGAAAGGCAGGCCGGACGGTGGTGGCGCACGCCTTTAATTCCAGCACTTGGGAGGCAGAGGCAGGCGGATCTCTGTGAGTTCGAGGCCGGGCTGGACCGATAGCCTCCAAAACAATACAGAGAAACCCTGTCTCGTAAAAAAACAAACAAACAAAAAAACAAAAAACAAAAAAAAAACCCCCAAAAAATTAGAAAGGCAAATGGCTCTGTCACGGCTGTTTAAAATCATTTCAGAGTTTGTGATCTAGACAGAGTAAGGAGAATGAGAACAACCTAACATTACTTTTCAAGTAAAAAGCAAGGGCATTCACAAGGAGGGGCACTGAAGGTAGTCATCCAAAGAAAGATGGGAGAAGAGTGATGCCATCTTGGACTGGAGCCATGGCATCAGGGAGAAAGTCACTAAGTATGCTTTGTTTAGTTTTTAAATATGAAGGTTTGAAGTGACTACCGTGAACCGTTGAAGTTTGCTAAAGTCAGGCACGGTGGGTACTTCGGCTAATGACCTCCAAGGTGCACACCCAGTGGATACCTCCAATCTCATTATTATCTGACCGCAGAGACATCTGATACTGCTCACAGCTCCCTTGCAGTAAGAACACTTTATCACAGAGCTTCTGGGACACATTTCAAAGAGACTGACAGTCTCCCTTGCTGGAACTGCCCATTTCCTTACCACCTAACTTTGGGGGACTGGCTGTAGTTTCTGTCCTCCGCACTCACAGATCCATACTCAGCCAAAGAGCAATCTAGACCCGGGGCTCCCTACTGTGAGCTGCTGTACAGTAAGTACTCCATGGATGTGCACATCATGGTTTCTGTTCTGTTGCCAAAGGATATTTGGTTTGGTTCTAGCTTTGGCTGTTAAATATGGCTGCTGTGTAGAAGTGTCCAGATTTCTTTGGTGACTCATTCCTATGCACACACTTCTTTCTCTCTTGAGTTGCCTGGGCAAGCAGGGATACCTCACATTCTTGATTAACTACGATACCTAAAAACTCTGGCTGAGCAGGTGTGTTCTATCCAAGTACCTCTCACCAGGTGCACAGCTTTAAACCTCACATTTACACAGGAAAGCAATTCAAAAAATCATTTTCTCCTTTATATAACTGTTATATTCATATTCTCTCTGCTTACAACACCATTTTGGAAAGCTATTTTTTCTTCATCACTGAGGCATGAAAAATAAAATTATATTTAAGGCAGTGGTTCTCAACCTGTGGGTTGTGATCCTGGCCCCAGGGGTGGGGTGGGGGTGCATAACAGATATTTACATTGTAATTCATAACAGTAGCAAAATTACAGTTATAAAGCATCATCAGAATAATATGGTTGGGGGTCACCATAACATGAGGAACTGTATTAAAAGGGTCACAGCATTAGGAAGGTTGAGAAACACTAATTTAAGGGGTACAACATATGGATGTCTGTGTATATAGTTAAAAGCACACACACTGTAAAATGAAAGCTACCATTAAGTTTAATTAACCCATCTATCATCACAGACAGCTGTCCTTTTTTCATGGAGGGACACTCTTGATAAATCTCAAGTTTATAATATAATATTTTCAACTATGATCATCATTTTGCACAGGTTTCAAAAACTTACCAAAACTTTCTACACTAACCAACATCACCCTATTTACTCCCCAGCCCTTAGCAAACAGCAGACTACTCTGTCTCTGTTCGTTTGGTTTTAAGAGTTCACCTATCACAGAGATGATGCAGGGCCATGTTTGGCTTATTTCCCGGACAAAGTGGCCTCTGGAACCACTCATGTTGTCAAAGAGATAAGATTTCTCTGTTTTTAAGACTGAAGAATATTCTACTATATGTGTCACATTTGTTCATCTACATATACACACTGGAAGTTGTTACGCTAACTTGCTAACTGGGAATAATGCTGCAGTGAGCATGAGAGGCAGCTCGCCTTTCCATATGCAGATTCTACTTCCTTTGGCCATACATCTCAATAGAATTATCAAATCACTTAATGGCTTTATTAATCTGTGGAATATTCCATACACTGTGTGAATATATGTCACTGTGATTGGTTTAATAAAAAAAGCTAAATGGCAAGTAGCTAGGCAGGGTTTAGGGGGCAGAGGGAATACTAGGAAGAAGAAAGGCAGAGTTTGAGGGTCGAGAGCCGAATGCGGACGCAGCAGCAGAGAAAGCGCACAGATGAGGTAAATGAGCCTCAGGGCAGGCAGCACACACATTAACAGGAATGGGTTAAGTTATAAGAGCTACCTAAAAACAAATCTAAGCTATCAGTTGAGCTTTCATAATTAATAAGGAGTCTCCATGTGGTTATTTGGGAGCCAGTGGTCCTGATGAAAAACTCTGCCTACATTAATCTTTTAAGGTCATTCTATTTTCAACAATGGCTGTACTGATTTATATTCCTAAGAATATCCAAGGATTCGCTTTCCTCCATATTTTCAACAACACTTATTTTCCTTTGTGATGACAGCAACCCTTAACAATTGAAATTATTATCTTGTGGTTTTACTTTGCATTTCTGGTTAAAAATGTTGAGCATTTTTTATATGCCCATTGACCAATGTATGTTTGGAAGGTTACTTTAAATAGCTCACCTAGGCAAAAGATCTATGTCCACAGGGAGCCTATCATGTGTGGTGCTGTCCTATAAAGGGCTGTAGTATGTTCTACAGAAAAACTCCTAGCAGGTGATAAAATTCTAAAGATGTATGATTCTCTTGCCTGTCCTGTAATTTTTTTTTAGTGCCAACTTGAAGGGGTAACCTTCAACAAGAGGGAAGTTGCCACATCTTTAAAAGAATTCAACATTTTTCTTCCTCCATTTTTCCCTTTTCTCATTCTTCCCCTTTTGTTCTTATCTCTTCCTTTCTCTTTACTTTCTTATAAGAAGACATTAGGGAATAAAAATATGATTGCAAATTATCAGTTTTATAAGTACTAAATCAGGCCCCAATGGAAAGTGAAAGATTAACCATGTATCAGACAAAATTCAGCACTGCAACTACTCACACTGACTTTGTATACACTGCTGGCAAATACAGAATACATGTTGTCTTTACAGAGGGTGAGGGGCAGTGACTTACTAGATGGTAGTTTATACATACAGCACAAGTGGGAAAGGCACTTTATACCTAAGTGGAAGTGCTGTCTCACCGTCCTGAGACACTGAAGAGTGCAGGTAAAGAGGGTGGGAATAACTTCCTCTGTGGCCCATTTGCTTCTAATTTATGAGAAGAATTAGTACAACTCAGAGTTTCTTCATACTCATTACTGGTAAAAAAAATTAGTGTTCTAACATTATAAGGAAATATTTTCAGGGCTAGGGTGTATCTCAGTGGTAAAATGCAAATTTAACATACAAGAGGTCCTGGATTTGATCCTAAGGACTACAGACTTCTATTTCTTTCTATGAGACTCACAGTAACCAAACTAAATTTAACAAAACAACAACACATTACTTTGAACATACACTTCAATTCTCTCTTTATGGCACTTATGTCCATAATGCCATTGGTGAATACTAATAAGGGTCTGTAAGACAGATCCTGCTTTTGTATAAATGTGCTGACATATTAGTGGGGATATGATTTCTCACACTTTAGCCTTTTGATGAAACGCCTTTCCAGTACCAGTATGTCATCTTATCCTACAATTTCACAGATCAGCTGCCAGGATATCTACTCTGAGAGCCCAGTTTCACATTGCACTAATGAGTCAACACCTGTTAGAGTGGAGACATCTGAGCCTTGTTAGCAATTGTGAAGTCTCCCAGGAGCTGGGATGCTGAACATTGTCATACTCACCAACAACATGTCTGCACTGAGGACCCTGGCAGCAGCAGTGATAAAGTCCCCCACCAGCATTGAGAAACCAGGCAAACCCAGGGAGAAAAAACGGGGTGAACAGTTTCTTATGATAGTGTTTAAGATATCCTGAAAAGAAAAATAAGGAAACACAACTGTAATTTTAAGAACAAAATTCCCAAGTGGTTTCTTTGTGTACAACATGCATGACCACCATAAGATAACACAGCACAATGATAGTCCCCGCCCCCCACCCTGAGACAGGGTTTCTCTGTGTAGCTTTGGAGCCTGTCCTAAAACTCGCTCTGTAGACCAGGCTGGCCTCAAACTCACAGAGATCCACCTTCTTCTGCCACCGAGTGCTGGAATTAAAGGCGTGCGCCACCACTGCTCAGCTACCATGATAGTTTTTTAAACAAAAGAGTGCAGGGGGTGCCTAACTCCAATGGTTCCTGTATGCATCTCTTGTTAAGGAGAATGGAGACAAAAAACTGTAAGATGACTTATCCAATGCCATCCTGTGGCATTGAGGCTTGCTAAACATCTGTCCTATATCCCACCTGACAATGGACTCCTTGGATAAGCTACAGGACTCCTGAGATAGACATATAAGTAAAATCTACCAACACCCATAAAATAGGAACTGGGCTCTGTCTTTAGTTTCAATCCCCAGAAGCTAAAGCACATTATTAGAGAATCTTACAGGCAAAAGGATGGAAGTTGTAGGCAATAAGAAATGAGAGTGTGAGCAGTGCTAAAGTAATGCTCTTATATGCATTAGGAACTGAGGTCAGGCAGTTGCCAGACCTGATGTGTGCAGGAGGTGCAAACACAAAGCCAACAGCAGCCATTTGCCAGAGCTCGGCATCAGGAGCATCTCCGGGCCAGCTCTCCATCCTGTGTCTATAATAGACTCCTGTGGAGGGCTGGCTGGCCCCCAACCCCCCAGTCCCTCATTCCCGCCTGTCCCGGATCAGATCCACCACAGGACAGTGTTCACACCATCGTGGCCAGGCCCCCCTCTAAAGCCATCTGTGTGAGTGTGTGCATATATAAGTGGGATTAGAATGAAAACTACAATCTTCTTTTACATAGATTCTGGCCAGGCACATAAATCAAACCTACCACACTAAAGTACTTTAGTTATGTGACTTATCATCGTGTAACTAATAGTATCAACAACAAGTAAATAGCAAAACATAAGAAACTTAGCTGTCAGTGTTGCTATCTGAATTAGCCCTTCAAATAGTCCTGACTTAACTATTAAATTAGAGCAAAGTATAGCAACATGCTAATTTTCAAGGTTATATTAAGCCCTTTATAAGATTTAACCTCATTTCACAATTTGTGTTCTTAAACACAATTTACATGTGCTCACAAAACATTTTCAGGACACTTTTCTTATAGATTTATGTAATTTATATAAATAACACTATGTCTATGCTTCAAATGACCATAGAATAATTGATATATTAGTATTCACATATGATAAACATTTTAGCTTAAAACTTAAAAGTTTTAGCATTTCAGTGGACTTTTTATATAAAAATGAACAGATAAATATGATTTACAGATGAAAGATGAGGCAGGTAGATAGATAGATAGATAGATAAATAGATAGATAGATAGATGATAGATAGAGATATAAAAGGAAGGAATGGAAGAAAAGCCAGAACCAAGGTTTTTCCCCAGTTAATATTTAAGCCTGCTTTAATCATGTCCTGCAATACACTTTAGGGTGCCTATCAGCCAAGACAAACATTCTCTGGGCTGAGCAGATGGATGCTGCTAGTTAAAAAGTGTGTGGTAGACTTAGGCTCCAGTAGTGGAACAAAAGATCTACCTTTTTCATAATTAAGCCTCTGATTAATGCCCTGGGCTCCTCACCACACACCTGTAATTACTCACAGAGGTATGCATTGTGCTGGGGCCTTGTCTCAGAATATCAGGCATCAAGCTATCCAGCAGCAGATGGAAGCACATTTCTGTTGACATATGCTGCAATGAAAGGATTCGTGCAAACCTGGCTAGCAAGGTAGCAGAATGCCATGCATCTGAAGATTAATAATGCAAACAGTCATGATGTTAGCTTTGTTATGTTTGCGTTAATTCCATCTGTTGAGATGAGGAGCTAAAACCCTGAAGCCTATGGGTTTTTAAAAATCTTTAGCACACTCTAAACTCAAATGAGCCATTTTCACCACTGGAATTTGGAATTTTGGTTTAAGGATTGTTTTCAGGAATAGGTTTTTAGGAATTGGAAACTGAATCCTTTAGCAAGCTGAAACCGTAATTTGTAAATCTTGCTTCATTGGTACATATGCATAAAGACCTAGGGAAAAAAACTACATTCAGAAGAAACTACAAAATTGTCACTGGTGCTAAAGACAGCAGATACACATGTAGTTGAGATAAAGTCAGAAGGCTCACCAAGTCCCTGGACCTGGGCCAGTGACTCCAACTGAACCTGCTTCTATGGGCAAAGAGATGGGAAAGAGAAGGGCAATAACAGATGGCAAGCCTATCCTAGTTGCCACCCACGTAAGACAGAGCCTGGAGGGAAAGTGTGTCTCTGCTGTAGTCACCAAAGACAGCACTGGAGCAGGGTTAATGTGGGGGTTAAAGAGGGGGCCATATGACCAGTCAGTCAAATTACTGCCAAATGCTGGCTTACTTTGCTTATCTACACTGAAAAGGAGCAGTCCAAAGGGTCTATCTTTGAGATAACACTTTAAAATTAGGAAGAGCCACATGGTACTCAGGAGAGCATCTGCCATCCATGTTCCCAACAGAGGGCAAGCATGATGAGATCCATTCACTCCTACTAGAGAAATCATTCTTTCATCCCACTTCCCCACCTCGAGGTATTAGGATCAATCTCTGGAGATACACAACAAAGTCTTCCCGATTCTGATAGCTTGCTTATTTTCAGCCTACAGGGCTTTATATATGAACAAGACAGAATGGCAGTTACCATACACCTACCACTCAAGGGGCAGTCCTCATGTCTTTGTAGTACCCTCCCTCTAAGGCATGACTTGCCTAGTAGGTGTTTTCAAAGGGACTCACTTTTTCAAAACTTAAAAATTACACTGGAAAATACCCTTTGTCAGAAACAGAATATACTCCTGAAAACCAATACAACAATAACAAGCAAATGACACTGAAATTCTTGCTAAAAACATCACTAGCTGCCAGAAGCTCTTAGTTTGGGACAGGCACCGTTCTTTTAAATCAGTGGTTTGCAATGCCACAGGACCCACCATGGTGGCTGCACCACCTCTACCTGGCCTGAGAATGTCCTAATGGCAGATTATGATGGGAAAGGAACTGTTATTCTCACTGTGTGATCCCTTCTCTCAAGGCTGCCTCCAATATAACCACTGCTGGGAAACAGTGCTGTGTTCAAACTCTCCCCATGAAGAACCCAAGAACTGGGGCCACAAGACCTGAGTTAGAGACTATGGGCCGCCCCTGGAACAGCATGTTTTCTCTCTTCCCTAAGATGGGAAGGACCCCTTCTTAATGAGTGCTAGGTAGTGGGATGCAGATGTGAACAATGCTTTATGGAGGCTTTCAAAGGCCATGCAGAAGTAATTGTGTTGCCAGTAAACAGTGTTTTTCAAAAAGGAAGAATTTGTACTTCATAGAACTGACTTCATAGGTTTAGTCCATATAATTTATTGAATGAATGTTTAATGACCTATAGAGGAAGGGTATTTCAAAACATTCGAGACATAGCATAGACAATTCTCTTTGATCATATACTAATCCAGAAATTAAAAATTTCCAGCAACCAGTTCCCTAAAACAACCTCTTTAACAAGGAATTAGAGATCGTGTATATAACTTGAGGGTAAAAAATGGAAGAAAAAACGGGAACACGATCCTTAGGTTCTTTAAGGTTTACACTTTTGAGGAGTTCTAGATCCTACCTGAAACAAGTGAGTCTGGTAGCAAGAACTGGTTTTTTTTTTTCCTGTACATTCTAAACAGACTAAACAGGAAGTTAAACTAAACAACAGGCTTAGTGGCAAATGGAGTCTGGAACAGGGCTCAGGTTTATTCTTTAAGTTGACTAGGACAGAGTAGACAAACTTTGTTTTTGCTGGAAAGAAACCACCCTGTGAACTGTTGCCACATAGTGAGCAGGACACACAGTGGCATTTTCTCCTGTTTTAGCGTGAGCCCCATGTTGAGTGCTTTCAAAAACTAGACTGTAAGACAATAATTGTGGCTTTGCAGCTTATCACAAGGTTCAGGCTTATGAGAAAGCGACTGGTGAGAACATCTGTCTCTTATCACTGATCTTGCAAAAAATCAGGTAATTCAAATAGAGGCGTGTTGTTTCCTCTCCTCCAAAGCACAGTTCTATAAACACAAACTACATTCAGCCCCTCAAATGAATCGCTTTAATTGAATGCTATGTACACAGTAACTGGAAAAACTCTGAGTGATAAGGAAAACATATGGTGACGGCAGCACAAATTGGCTTACTCATTCTGCACAGGGCTGCTTCTTTAGTTCTCTTATAATTGACCTTTAGAATGATAAATGTGTAAAATAATTTTGTTTATTACAGCTTTAAACCTTCCAACAATTACACAAAATGAAAATTTAAAAGGAAGGATTCCTTCTGGAAGCATTTCCATTGTTTACATAATTGCACAGCTATAATTTCGTGCTTGTGTTGTTATGGAAAATAAAAAAGGGCCATTACTGGCCATTTCAATTCAAAATATTGCACAGTAGTGTCAAAAATGGGGGCAAATGTTCACTTTACCACAGTTTAAAAAGGATTAACCCTGTATAGCTAACATGTCGGCATAGCATTCTTTGAAACACAACAGTGTAGAAGTCACCATCCTTCCTGCATTGGCGATGTGGCAGCTATGCTTTCACACCAATCACATGTAGATTTTTCACTTAATATTTGCTCATGACCTAGCAGATAATGGCTGTAACACAATAGCCAGCCATCTGTCTCCCTGCCTTTCCTTGGAGGACTTCTGCCTGCTTCTCCAGAGCAAACAGATCTGGTTATCCCACCTAAAGTCACTTAGACCCTCTGTGAGGCTAAGCAGTCATCAAGAAATAAAATTTGTGTGTGCAAAATAATTTAACTCCTCA